TTCCGAGAAGAGGGGACCCTAATATAGTACCCTAAAGAGTAGGATCCTTATTATAAGGACCCGCAAGATAAGGTACCCCTATAATTGTCGGATAGAGGCACGGTGAAGTTCGAGGGTTCAGGGGGCATTGGCTTTGCAAGCTCCCGCCGGCGCTGGAATAGATTCCAGAAGCCTCGCGAAACACTGAACCAATCCGCGTCGCAGATGTTCGCATTCTTCGACCCTCAACCCTAAACCCTACAAGCCCCATAAACCCTAAACCCTTACACCTCAAGTTCTTGGAACCCCTTGAGGCCCGAGAGCCGACTTAAGACAGTTCGTTTAGGTCACTATTTCGTGGTAGCTGCCTGGAGATGGGCACTTGAGCCATTTTGGAGCCCCGAGCTGTGCCCGACACCCCTTTCCTTGCAGTCTCAGCATCAGAAGCGCAATGCCACGAAAAGCACTTTGTTTGAACGGTTTAGGAAAAAGGGTTTAGGGTTTAGGTGAAGTCTTGCACCCTAAAGCTTTAACTTTAAAATGTCAAGGCCCTTCCCATGCCGATTAGCTCGAAACAGGCCTTCACCCTGCAATGCATTTTGCCACACATCTTTCTCATGGTACCTTCAGTTTCTCTTCGGAAAAAGAACCCTCATAAACACCATCCAATCCAGCCTACAACCCCTCTAAAATCCTCATAAACTCATAGAGCCCTACGTCCCGAAATCCTTGAAGCCCCAAACCCCAAGGGGTAAAAAGAGCCTTTTGGGAGGGTGGGATCCTCTGTTCCCATGCCGGCGGACGTAGCCGAGCTGATCGCTCCGGCTCCTTGGGACTGTTCAGAAGGATCTCCTTGAGACTTCAATTTTCAGGGTTTAGGGTTTTTCAAAAAGGGTTTAGGTTGAGGGTTTAGGGCCCCGGGTTTAGGACCTTAGGAACTGTTTCAAGGTAAATATTCATGCGAAGAGTTTAGACCTCAAAGTAGGGGACTATCTATGTACTTGGACTCTTTCGGGTCTTCGAAAGGTGCCTTTGGGGTTTTCAGTTCAAGGGTTTTGGTTTTGGCCTGGAAGTACAGGGTCAGAAGACACCGGTTCGGGGGGATGCTTACTGTTCCACACGGTTTAGGATTATGTTCAAGGCCATACGCGACCACAGGGTATGCACTGTCAAAGGTGCAACATATAGCTACGTTGACAGGCAGGGGAGGAGGACTCCTGACCCCGGCACTCAGAAAAAGACTTCCCAGCCAAACCCCGAAGTCACAACCCTGTATGACCCGGAACCACAAAACTTAAGCCCTACAAGCTGTAAATGCCTACAGCCCCACATACAGCCCTAAACACCAGGGTCAAGACTTCTCCAGGTCTCGCTGTAGAAGGAACAAGCCCAGAGCAGTCGGATCCAAGGATGACCCGGGCGACTCCATTGCAAAGCGCGCAGACGAGGCGCTTACCCTGACCCCCCAGGTACCTACTGTATATGGTACTAGAGCCCCTAGGGCCCTATATAGTATGTACTTGGGGGGCTAGGGTTAGCTGGTTTGAAGCTTGATGGTTTTGAAGGGGTATCGGCTTCAAGAGCGTGTATGACATGTTGCAGGAGAAAGCCCCGCGTTTAGGGACTGCAAACCCTATAGGCTAAACCCGATAAATCTTGCAGAGTCTAGAGTCTGACTCATCATCCCTTAGCTGCACCTAGGGACATCTACGGCGTTTTTTCAAGGGGCCGACAGGGAGTTCCGGATGCACTGCTCAAGGGCCCGAACATGCCCTGACATAGTTGGATCCCTGGGGCCACCCTAGTTTCATTGTGACTACATAAGTGACTGTTTATACATAAGTAAGTAACAGAAGTATACCGAAAGCCATGAGCATCATAATCCCTTTAACCTCGCTTCCATTGCCTGCTGCTAGCTGCCGGAGCTGGTGCTGAAGGCAGCCCGGAAACTAACAGAGAACCCCAACATGGGCTCATGCCAGGCTTACGGCCGTTTCGCCGGATGGGCTATGTTAATTTAGGGACTGGCCTGTTTGGTTACTTGCTTCCCCCTGTTTTGATTAAATCCCTGCAGCTTTAGACGTGTGAAGCCTTGACGATCCGAGGCCCTCAGGTGGGCCGTC